GCCAGGGGAGAGGCGCCTCTCTCCCCCAGCCCAGGTGCTGCTGTGGGGAGAGAAAGCTGGGGGGAGTCCTCTCTCCCCACCATAGCCCCAGGGAGCCCCACTGCACCCCAAACCCCTCATCCCCAGCCCCACCCCAGAGCCCGCACCCCCAGCTGGAATCCTCACTCCCACGCACCCGAATCCCTCTGCCCCAGCCCTGAGCCCCTCATCTCCGGCCCCATGCCAGAGTCCACACCCCTGCCCCTCTGCCCCCCGCACCTCAACCCTGAGCCCCCTCCCGCACTCCGAATCCCTCGGCCCCACTCTGCCACCTGGATTTTGTTATGTGCACCGTTTGGAGGTGATGTGGGGAAAAATTAGGGGGAACACTGTGGGCCACACCTGACAAAGGTGCCTGCAGTTAGAAATGGCTTGTCTGCATGACACTGATTGCTCACAGCTACTGTTCTCGACAGATATCAGGCAAAGTGTGTGAAATCTTTAAATCTTTAACAAATCTCTCATTAATCCCGGCTAAGTAGATTAAAACCTACTGCAGGCTTTAAAAGGAAGCAAGCTGCTCAGTTGTAGGGCACTGAAAATATAAATGGTGGAAAAACAGTTAAAACAGATTGGCTGACAAATACCAGGAAGTAAGCGGCTTTCATGCAAGTAGTACCTAAGGGGGAACAGAGCAGGATGTTTGTTCCCAGTGCTCGGAGTACTTACGATTCTTCTTGTGGATCAAGTGTGCAGAAGTATATGCGAGGGTGCTGGCTGTTCAAGAATTCTTTCTGTAATACGTTCAGGTGTTGAGGTAGGGCTCAGCTTGATGTTACAGCCGTGAATTTCAGAAAGGCCTGAACATCCCCTCTGTTCCTGTACCTACAGGTCTGTTCAGAGTACGCGGAGCTTTCACCATCTGATTTGTGGGTGCAAGGGGTAGTTAAATACCTACGGACTGTCAAATGCACCCAGCACTGGAAGGGGCTTCTGTAATTGAAAAACCAAGCTGAGATTTTGTGGGCTCAAACTCTCAGTAGGATTTGTTCCAATTATAACCGAAGTTATGGATTTATTCATTAAACCTTCTGTTCCTTTTCCAAGTTCAGACAGTTTGTTACAGCTTTTTAAGAAAAAATTCTGAATGGAAATTCTCTAAACATTTTATTTTTACATTTAATAAATTCATGGGAAAAAACCCTCATGGTTCATGTTTTAGAATCCAGCTATGTAGTCTGGGGCATGTTGTCCTTCAGCAACCTCTTTTTTATTTTTATACTCTCCCTCTTTTTTCACCTGTCTGTCTGTGTCCCTGCCCTTTCTCCCACTGTATGTTTGCTGGTCCTTCTCCATTAGTGGGAGAACTAGACCTGTGAATGTTGGCTCTTATATGTCTTAAATCTGCCCAGAGTCCTTAGCCCCGGGATTTCAAAGAAACCACCATGACAGTTGGCAGTGAGAATTCTGGGTTGAGATCTGATGCCCCGGGGTGTCATGTGGCTGAATGAAGATTGCTCATCGGGATTAAAGGTGACAAACAAGGGAGCTGGCAGGTTTGCTGAGCTAAGTGAGAAGGAAGGGAGATCAGGAGACTGTTTGTGGGATGTCACTGGAATTTTGAAGAAGCAATGTTGACTGACTGACTGACTCCTTTCTGCGTGACCATATCCACCTCTGAGCCCAGCTTTGTAGAAGTTGAAGGCTCCTGCAATCCTTTCTTCTGCTGCTTACCTCCTGTGTTCCCAGGAATGCAGAGTCTTCAATGTAAGCTGCCTTAGTTCACAATCTCATGGGTCTGCACCACTCTGGTTGATAGTGTTCAGTCAGTGGGGCCAAAGGTAGTGCTCCTGTTTTGTACCATATGCTCTGAGATAGGCCAGAACAGTGATCTGAATGTGGATGATACAACTAAGCTCTTGATTTGCTGCACGTTTATTTCCTATATGTTAGAGGAAGAGAATCTTATTGAAGGTTATAATCCTGCTATGGCAATTGTTCTGTTAAAAACACTGGCACTTCTAGTTAAACAAAATGACCTTTTCTCCAGCCACATTAAGGAAATGGCTGAAAAATGTTCCTCATATGGTAAATAGTTCTTGTCATTTGCTTCAGACGATCACAGGATATTGTAGCTAAATGCTGAGATCTGCCCAGCCTGCTCCGCAAATGCTCAGTTTCCTGGCCCTGCAAATTGCCTAAGGGTGCAATAAGTAGGTTAATATTTGCTTTAGGGTTAGCCTGAGGGTTGGCATTCCCAGTAGGCAGAGCCGAGTTCTGTTTGTGGTGGTTGTGTGTGTCTGTGAGCTTATGCACATATGAGCCTGCAAGGTGATTTTCATTTGCTCCCATTTTGTTGTTGTATGTTGTTCCCTTGTCATTTTTACCGCAGCAGTCGTGACAGCTATGTTTGTTACAGACAGGCTCCTACCGACCTACACACACACACACACGCACACGCGCTTGTTGATTATTAAATAGTTGCTTTTTTGCTGCAATTTGCTTTTTGTCTCTCCTCTGTGTTCATTAGTTCCTACTATTGTCCTGCCCAATTTCTGACTCCTTGGTTGGGAACAGGCGGTGGGAGCAAGAGACAAGGGGAGAGAAGTGGAGGAAATGCAAACGTGGAATTTGCGTCTCTGACTGCACAGACAACTTTATTACAACAAGAGGAAATGGATGCTGGTGTGTCTTATGCTTCCTAGCCGTAGCCTACATGCTGGACCTGAAACCCCCATTATTTTGCTTAGGGACCCAGAGCCAGCCAGTGCTGTCCCCAAAGTGGGCAGCACCAGCCAGGGGCCCAGGACATGCATCAGATGAGCATATCCCCTAGGCATTATCCACCAGCGAGGGGTCTGTGGAACCCAGAATGTAAGTTAAAGCTCTTTCCTGGAGAATCCCTGTGCCTAGCTCTGTGAAGAGCAGCTTCCTCCACTGGCTATGGGGATGCAAATTGCATACCCAGCCTGTCTTAACGGGGTGAATCGAGTACCACATATTCCCCTCCTGTGGGAGAGGAAAACTCACGTGTAAATCTCAAGGGGTGTATTAGCTTGACAGTCTGCTGAATCTTCACCTTGGAGAGGAAGGGCTGGCAGCTCTGCAGACAGTACAAGGCGCATGGCTTGCCAAATGCTTTATTGGGCTGAGATCTGTAGGAAAACACCTTACAGCTCCCTGTCCCACAAGAGAGATTCCCTCCATGCTACCTCAAGTCCCCACCACTCCAGCCCCAGTCGCCTGGCACACCATCCTACTGGGCAGCCATTGATTTGCCATTTTGAAACTGCTGTGGGGTCCTTGACTCCTTCATTTTTCCTGGGCACACGGTCTTCTGAGCACCCACATAGCAGCCACAGAGGAGGTGGGGATGACTAGGTGGTGGTGCAGAATGCTACCACCTAGCTGCCTTCCCCCTCCCCCACCTATTCTTGTAGATTTTTTTTTTGTGATTTTGCTCCCCTTTGCACCATGCATCGGATGGGAGCATCTGGGTTCCTGTGTGGACGGTCACGGCCATGTAGCTGCTGTCTCTTTACCATGCCCTACCTACTGAAGACAGTGACTGTGTATACAGGGCTTTTGGTGTCCCCTGCACGGGTCCTACAGCCTTTCTGCACTCTGCCTCACTAGTGTCCTTAGGAAGAGGCTCTGCCAAGCCAGACAGTGGCATGGGGGGGGAGGTAGGGATTGGGGCTAAATCCCAGCCGGGATTCTTCCTGACCTACGCAGTCAGGGGCAGCTGAATGTGAACTTCGAAAGGGCTATTGTCATGAGAGGCCAGCCCTGGGGTTTGCTGACCAGAAGCAGACGCTCCGAGATGTAAGAGCTGCGCTGTTTATGGTGGGTTTTTTATTGCTTGCTAGAGTTTAGACTGTTCAGCTGCAGGAAGGAAATGTGGCCAGAGACTTTGTATTTTGTCAGCTGAATCCTGTAAATTAGCAGTAGTTTCTAGAGAGGATGTCTTATTGCTTAACCTGGGCCACCTGTGCACATTCTCTCTGGCTGCTAAGAGTCATGTCACAATGACACGTCTCTGATTTCTGTCCTTCCTCTGCCGGGAGTCCCTTTTCACTGGTATTTTCATTTGTTTCAGTGTCACTCCACCACAGCAAATGATGGAGCAAGAAGAACTGAGAGTTCAACTGGCATCTAAAGAGCAGCTTATTCATCAGTTAAACGTCCATCTGAGGGAGGCAAATCACAGCCAGGAAAAGTCAAAAGCAGAGGTAGGTTCTGCCTTGCTTGCAGGCACCATGTCTCTGCTCTGAATGAACCATGCAGGAAGGTGTCTGCACAGGTGTTTCTTGCAACTCAACTGCTTGTAGCACTGCTGGGAAGCCTAGCTCTGTGAATCCTAAAAGAGTCCAGCCCATCACACATGACGACCACTTACGATTGGCATTGGGAAAGGAGTAGCTGGTGAAGGTGAAAGATTCAGATTCCAGGCCACTGATTTACAGTGAGACAAGATGACACGGTGCTGAAAGGATTGCCCAAGTGATGGAGTGACCATAGATTGTGGCTAGTGGTGACTGGGTTGATGGGGGGTTATCACTGAATCTGATCACAGGTAAGGAAAGGAAAGGATCCCCAGAGGCAAGTTAAGAGGAGTCGTAACCACATAGACACTAGCACTATGATTGAAACAGACCCTCACAATTCCCATTGTGAAATCAAGCTAGTCATTTTGAAAGATCTTCCATGGCGGGAACATGAAAACATCTGCTCAGTGCAGAGTGCCAGTCAAAAAGACTAACAATGTTAGGAACCATTAGGAAAGGGATAGATAATAAGATAGAAGATATCATAATGCCACTACATAAATCCATGGTACGCCCACACATTGAATATTGGGTGCAGCTCTGGTCACCCTATCTCATAAAAGATTGATTAGAATTAGAAAAGGTGCAGAGAAGGGCAACAAAAATGATTAGGAGTGTGGAGCAACTTCCATATGAGGAGAGATTAAAAAGACCGAGACCATTCAGCTTAGAAAAGAGACAACTGGGGGGGGAATAATAGAGGTCTGTAAAATCATGAATAGTGTGGAGAAAGTGAATAAGGAAGTGTTATTTCACAAAACTCAAGAACCAGGGGTTACCCAGTGAAATTAATAGGCAGCAGGTTTAAAACAAACACAAGTTCTTCACTCAGTGCACGGTCAACCTGTGAAACTCGTGGCCAGGGGATGTTGTGACAGCTAAAAGTGTAACTGGGTTCAAAAAAGAATTAGATAAGCTCATGGGGGATAGATCCGTCAATGGCTATTAGGCAGGATGCGCAGGGATGGTGTCCCTAGCGTGTTATTGCCAGAAGCTGACAATGGGTGACAGAGGATGGACCACTTGTTGATTACCTGTTCTGTTCATTCCCTCTGGGGCATCTGGCATTGGCCACTGTCGGCAGACAGGATACTGGGCTAGATGGACCTTTGGTCTGACCCAGTATGGCCGTTCTTATGTTCTTATCTGCAATAGGTGCATTGCCCTCATTTGTGAGAGAATGTGTTAGCTAAGATGATCAGGTGATGTAAGATAAGATGTAGCCCCATGCTCTGGGTGTCCCTAAACATCTGACTGCTAGAAGATGGGACTGGATGACCGAGGATGGATCACTCAATAATTGCTCTGTTCTGTTCTCTCCCTCTGAAGCATCTGGCACTGGCCACTGTCGAAAGATACTGGGCTAGATGGACCATTGGTCTGGCCCAGTCTGGCCATTCTTATGTTCTTACTTTCTTATACATCCTTAAATATGCATATAGCTAACTACCAAGCAGTGATGGCCCGGTATCAGTTTGAATTGTGGGAGAAGATGGCTCTTTGCACAAGCATCTACCAGAGGACTAAAGGAAGTTGACATCATCCATTATTAATGAAGGCCAAAATATAGCCAGACATGCCCTTAGGGCATCATTTGCCATATCTGATGCTGTCTCTAGATCATTGGCAACAGCAATAACTCTATGTAGACATGCTTGGCTACGTTCCTCTTCTCTCCAACCGGGTCAGGGCCAAAATAGAAGATTTACCCTTCGACGGAGATGGTTTATTTAGTGTTAAGACTGATGACACATTGGTAAGCTGAAGGAGATTCTGTTACAGCTAGGTCTCAAGGACTCATGCTACCTTACAGAAGAACTTGTACCCCAGTGTTCAGATATCACAGACAGCACATACCACCTTCTTCATCCACTTCTTATCAGAAGAGGCAAAAGTACCATCAGCAGCACTATCAGCAACAAACATTCTCAGATACATGACAGGAAGAAACACTTCAAACTTCATATGAGGACAAAGAATCCCTCAGCCACATTTGCTTTACCACATGCCAAGCCTCAGGTTTGACCTGTTAGTTGAGACCTTCAAACCAATTTTAGTAAATCAATTTGGGAGCCCTCTGTCCAAATTTTACAATTCTTGGACAACTATCATCTTGGACTTAAAGGGTTTTAGATAGAGTAAAAGAAGGTTTTAGTGTCCCATTCAGATCACTCTCTCTGTACAAATCCCTCCCTCCCTCCCTCTTCAGGGACCCCTCCCACAGGAGCGTGTTATGGATAGAAGTACAAGCTCTTCTGAGCATGGTTGCTATAAAATAAGTTCCCTTGGCTGCCAGAAACAAAAGATTCTACTCCCATTCTTTTCTAATCGCCAAAGAGAAGGGAGACCTCAGACTGATTTTAGATCTCTGGGATCTAAACAAATATATCAGGAAGTTTCCATTCAGGATGCTTTCCTGGGATCTAATTTTTCTGCTCTAGATTGGTTTGCTGCTCTTGAACTCAGAGGCATATTTCCACATTCCCATTAGACCATCCCACCAAAAGTACTTATGCTTTGTCCTTCTTTATACCTCTTTCAATGCAGAGTCCTACCTTTCAGTCTCTCCACTTCGCCCAGAGTATTTACAAATGTTTAGCTCCAGTAGTGGCACATCTAAGAAAGCAAGGTTCTTCTGTATTCCCGTATTTAGATGATTGGTTGCTGAAGGACCAATCCAAAGAAGAATTAGAGGCAGCCATTCAGAACATTTATTCTCTATTTGGAACCCTGGGTCTCATCATAAACAAACAAAAATCACTTCTCATTCCTTTCATAGGGGAGCCCTTTGACTCTGTCAAAGGAAGGGCCTTTCTGCTGGAGGAGAGGGGTTTGAAAATAGCAGATTCCCTGCCTTCATTGATGACACCCAGTTCATATGGCAGGGCTTTTTCTGAAGCCACTGGGACTAATGGCATCGATGACATTTGTAAAACCTATGCCAGACTCAGAATGAGGCCTCTTCAGCACTGAGTCCTGAAGAATTTCTATCCCAGTATGGCCAGCATGCTGAAGAGGATTACAGTACCGCCCGAAACTCTTCATTCTCTTACACAGTAGTTACATCCGCAGAATGTGCCCAAGGAAGTATTCAACCCATCTCAACCAAAGTTCATAGTAACCATGGATGCATCCAAGGTAGGCATATCTTTACACTCAGGTAGTAAAGGGTCTTTGGAGCCTCAAAGAATCCCAGTTACACATAAATGTATTGGAGCTACGGGCAATCCATTTGGCCCACAAAATGTTTCTCCTGCAGATACGCAATAAAGTTATCCAGGTTGCCACAAACAACATGGCTGAAGTTTATTACGTGAACAAACAAGGAAGGACTTATTTGACCCACCTGTTCAACATAGCAATAGAGGTATGGGATTGGTGCATACAGTACAACATTTACCTGATTGCCTTACGTATTGTAGAAGAACACAACAAGTTAGCAGATTGCCTCAGCAGAGAATTGTCACAAATGCACAGATGGCCCCCAAAGAATTCATTAATTCAGGATATCTTCAAACATCGGTGATTCTTGACTGCAGACCTGTTTGCCACCACACTCAATGCAAAATGCCCTCTTTTCTGCTTAGAAGCAGGAGTGGACAGTCAATCTTTGACAGACACATTTCTCCCCAACTGGGGAATGGATCTCATGTATGCATTTCCCCCATTCCCTTTAATTCCCAAAGTTCTAAACAAACTAAAGCAAGATTCTGCCAGGATGACTATAATCACTCTAGCGTGGCTGAGACAACAATGGTATGCCGACCTACTCCACTTATCCCATGTCAATTACAGGACTCTGCCATTATTGATGGACCTATTTTCACAGCCACAGGGGAAAGTGCTCCACCCAGATCTCAAATTGTTACCTCTAACAGCTTGGGTAAAAGGACTTGGATGGGAATAGAGCCCTCATGCTCCACTGAGGTTCAGTGAATGTTATTAATGCTAGGAAACGCTCTGCTATAAAGTGTTATGACTTCAAATGGAAAAGATTCATGATATGGGCAGAAAATGGAATTGTTGATCCAGTTTCAGCCCCCATTCAGATGGTCTTAGAATATCTGTTACACTTAGAGGGTCTATTGTTATCACCTGTTAGCGTACACTTAGTGGCTATTTCATCATACATACACATATTAGGGACAAACCCGTTTTCTCACATGACCTAGTGGAGAGATTTTTGAAGGGTCTGCTGAACCTTTATCCATTCACCAGAGACCTTGTCCCCTTGGAATTTGAATTTAGCACTGACTCAAATGAGGCCTTTTGAGCTATTATGAAATTGCTATTATAAAAGCTGGTTTTAAGGAAAGGTGAAATAGGGAGCAATCATTTCCGGTATATGAATTGGTGATTCATAGATTCTAGGACTGGAAGGGACCTCGAGAGGTCATCGAGTCTAGTCCCCTGCCCGCATGGCAGGACCAAATACTGTCTAGACCATCCCTGATAGACATTTATCTAACCTACTCTTAAATATCTCCAGAGATGGAGATTCCACAACCTCCCTAGGCAATTTATTCCAGTGTTTAACCACCCTGACAGTTAGGAACTTTTTCCTAATGTCCATCTGCATGCACTAATGGCAGATTTCCCCCCCCTATTCTGTTTTCCATCGGACAAGGTAGTCCTTAGGCCACATCCTAAATTAATTCCAAAAATTGTTTCCGATTTCCATGTAAATCAGTATATAAATGTACCTGTATTTTTTCCAAACCTCATATAAGTAAGGGAGATGCTAGATTACAGTCTTTAAATGCAAAAAGAGTACAGTCATGTTACCTGGATAGAACTCAGGACTTTAGCTGTTCTCCTAAGTTGTTTATCCCTTAGGCCTGGTCTACACTATGACTTTAATTCGGATTTAGCTGCATTAATCCGAATTAATCCTTAACCCGTCC